AATATTAACCAAAAGACCAAATTTAGCATTGCTGAAAGTGAGACAACCAGTCATTGTGTTCCCGATGGAGGGCAATGGGACGTACACGGCTTTACCCACAAAGTGTTCTGGCCATTGTCTAACCTGAATGTGACCATGAGTTTAGACCTAACTTCCACTATGCAGGAAAATAGAGGAGAGAGGAATGAGCTAAATAATGCCATGAGGAGCCAATCAGATGAATCCAGAATGTACAGTTGACCCTTGAACAACACAGGGGTTGGGAGTGCCAACCCTCCAAAAAGTCGAAAATCCGAGTATAATTTATAATCTGTACCCGTGGTTCCTCTGTATTCGTGGTTCCCCTGTATCTGTGGTTCCCCAGCCTCGGATTCAACCAACCAAGGATCATGTAGAAGTGAAATATTTATTACTGAAAAAAAATCCATGTATAAGTGGACCCATGCAGTTCAAACCTGTGTTGTTCAAGGGTCAGCTGTACACATTCCACAAACTATCTGGCCAGATCTCTTTAAAAAGTAAGTGCCTTAGGTGGGGAGATTATTTTAGATTTAAAAAGACTAGAGGATATCATAACCAAATGTAATGTGTTAATTGGATCCTGGCTCAATAAACCAAATGTAAAAGACACTGTGTTGTGAAAATTTTGAATATGGACTAGATATCAGATAATATTAGGAAATAACTGTTAATTTTCCCCGGTGTAAAAGTGGTATTATGGTTACGTATGAGAATGTCCTTGTTCTTTTTTTATCTTTTACTATTTATTTATTTATTTAGGCTGCACCAGGTCTTAGTTGCAACATGTAGACTCTTAGTTGTGGCATGTGGACTTCTTAGTTGCAAACTCTTAGTTACATCATGTATGTGGGATCTAGTTTCCCTACCAGGGATTGAACTCAGGTCCCCTGCACTGGGAGTGTGGAGTCTTACCCACTGGACCACCAGGGAAGTCCCAAGAATGTCCTTGTTTTGGGGAGATACAGGTTGAAGTATTTCCTGACTGCAGCTTAGTCTGAAATGGTCCAGCAAAAGTAGAGAGTTAGCTAAATACACAGGTAGATGAAGCAAATAGGGCAAAATAGTCACAGTTGTTGCATCTAAGTTGTGGCCATTCTGATGTTCTTCAGTTGGACTGTTGCTTCAACTTTTCCATACTTTGACATTTTTCAGAATAAAAAGTTTAAAAATTGTTGAAGAAATAATGGGGGAAAAAAAAGAAATAATGGAACTAGAAAATCATCATTTTGCAACCATTCGAGTGGTAACTAATTAGGCAAGAGTCATCGATGGATCCTAAAGCCAGTAGGTGAAAATTTGAAAACAAACAGGATATTTGGGGTCATCTCAGTGTATCTACCCATAGGTTTTTTTTTTTTTTCCACACGGCTTGCAGGATCTTAGTTCCCCGACCAGAGACTGAACCTGGGCCCTCAGCAGTGAAAGTGCAGAGTCCTAACTGCTGGACCACCAGGGAATTCCCTCCCATAGATTATTTATTAGTTCCAAAAGGGGGAACATGGTATTTTTACAGTGGAGAATAGCAGTACAAGAAGGGCACAACGCTGCTTCTGTGGTATTCTTGCCAATAATTTATATTATATTAATGTTAAAATTCCTGAATTTGATAATAGCACAGTACTGGGTTATACATATTATTATTATTTTATATATCTCTAGAGAGAGAGGGAGTGATAAAGCAAATGTGACAAAATTTTATCAGTTGGTGAATCTGGACAAAGGGTACACAGGAGTTCTGTCTACTATTCTTGCAACTCTGCCATGTTTTAAATTATTTCAGAGTAAAAAATTTTTAGGAAGGGCTTCCCTGGTGGCGCAGTGATTGAGAGTTCGTCTGCCGATGCAGGGGACACGGGTTCGTGCCCCGGTCCGGGAAGATTCCACATGCCGCGGAGTGGCTAGGCCCGTGAGTCATGGCCGCTGAGCCTGCGCGTCTGGAGCCTGTGCTCCACAACGGGAGAGGCCACAACAGTGAGAGTCCCGCGTAACACAAAAAAAAAAAAAAAAAAAAAAAAAATTTTTAGGAAAATCTAAGTTAGACCTAGACTAGTTGGGGAGGCAGCTCCTAAAAATGTAGGGGTTAACAGAAAATTAAAATCTTTTTTTTAACGTTTTTTTTTTTTGGTTGTGCCAGGTCTTAGTTGCAGCCTGCGGGCTCCTTAGTTGAGGCACATGAACTCTTAGTAGAGGCATGCATGTGGGATTGAACCCAGGCCCCCTGCATTGGGAGCTCAGAGTCTTAACCATTGCACCACCAGGGAAGTCCCCAAAATTTAAATCTTGATAAAATAAAGTTACTTTTATTTAAATACCTTTATTACCTTGGCATTTCTTTTAAATTTCAGGAATACTTGACTTCATGGAGCTGGCAGAACTGGGACTCCAAGGGAGGGGTTGGAAGGTGAGAAGGCATGCATGCCCAAGTGACCGGGTTGCAAACTGGTCTGTTCCCACTCTGGTTCTCTGGCCAGTAGCCTTTCTTTCCAGTTGAGACTCCTCATTCTTATATGGAAGCCAGCTGCCCAAAGAGCTGTTGGGGAACCCATCAGACCCTCAGCATCTGCCCAGCACTGGCACCCACATGCTTTATACCTCTTGTGATTGTTTTCCAATTATTCTGTCACCACCCTCACCTGGATTAGACCACTCCATCCAGGCCATGACTGGCTTCCAGTTTTCTTGCATGTCTGTAAGCACAGCGCTGAATAAAGCATAAAAGCTCAATATATCATTTCTGATCCATTATTTTCAGAAAGCAATTAATAAACAGATACTTTTTGGCCTTCTAACAATCTTTGGGCTTAATGTGTAAGGGCTGTGAACAAACAAGCAAACAAACCAAGATAATTTATAAAGCAGATTTCAAACAAGTAGAAGTTTGTTTTTTTTTTTTTTTTGAATTATAGTCGATTTACGATGTTGTGTTAGTTTCAGGTGTAAACAAGTACAAGTTTTGACGACCAGTACTATCAAGCTAAAACCCAGAGATGAATTCCACTAGGAGTGGGAGAACTCCAGGGTCCAGCCTCCCTCTGGCCTTATCAATTCTCTTCCTGAAGGAGTTATTTACGTTCTTCAAGACTGTGTTTGCTGGTCTTCCCAGCTGGCCTGAAAACTTCTGGGAGAAGGGACAGACTTTGTGTTTTTGTCCCTGTGTGACCTCTCTCCAGTTTCTGCACACTCAGCTCTTCCCACTTGCTGCAGGCATCCCAGTCCCCACAGAGTCGCCCACACTAAATGCCTCAGCCTCAATCGTGTCAGAGAGAATGGTCCAGGGAGGTGGACAGAGCACAGCTTCAGGATCTGACAAACCCTGGACAGTAATTTATGGGCAGTGTGACATGCTCAGGCAATTTACACGGCCTCTGAGCCTCAGTTCCTTCTTCTGCAAAATGGGGGTAGTGGGAATTCCCTGGCAGTCCAGTGGTTAGGACTCCATGCTTCCACTGCAGGGGGCATGGGTCCAATCCCTACTCTGGGAGTAGTAAAACTGACTTCTCACCCAAAATGAACGGGTAGACTGTGATGCCAGGCCTCTGTACCTCATCCAGTGTTTGGAAACCTTAGTGACCGTCAGGGGCCATCTGTCCAGCTTCATCCCCTGTGTGTTGAGCTACCACTGGGGGTGGGGAGGGGTAGCTCATTCTGACTGCCTCCACTCCCTCCTTTCTATCTCCCCAAGTTGGTTCAGGTACAATCTGCTCAATAGGAACAGCAGGTATCAGAGATGGATGTGCAGGACTCAATATTTATTCCCTAGGAGGCTATAAGAAGCAGGAGGCACCAACTCCAGAGCCAGACTGCCTGGGTTCAAATCCCAGCTCCACCATCTACAGCCCTGTGAGCTTGGGCAAGGTTACTTAACCTCTGTGCCTCAGTTTTCTCATCTATAAAACAGGAATGATAACAATGACACCTACCCTATAGGGTTCTTCTGAGGATTAAATGAGTTAATGCATAAGTATAGAGCGCTTTGCTAGTACTACACTTCATTGAATCTGATATCCTGGTACACTAGGAAATTAAGATTGTTGCCAATTAAACTAGGACATATCATCAGTGGAACTGGAACTGAAATCACATATTGATTTCAGAAATGTGAAACATAACAAATGTCGAAATAGATCAAGTACACTATTATTATTAGCATACTTAGCTGGAATACATTAGCATTAGAGTTAGGGGTCAAATCCCAGATTCACCATTTACTACCTGGGTGACCTTATTTATGCAAGATCCTGAGCCTCTCTGTGCCTCAGTTTCCTCCTCACCTGTATGTGCGGATAACATCAATAGCACCTACCGTACATGACTGTTGGGGTAATTAAATATGTGAGGGCTTAGGAAGTACCTGGTACACAGTAGGCACTATGATTGGTATTATTTAGAACAACGTTATTCTCTCCAGGTGTGGAGGTTGGCTGGGGAGAGAAGAGGACGAACCTGGCTGGCTTTTTAGATAAAAAGGTCTTGGCCTCCGCTGCCCTCCCCAGTCTCGCAACGGTCAGGAGGGCCCAGGTGCCCCGCCCCCACCCGGCGCCCCGCCCCCGCCTCGCCTCGCCCCGCCCCGCCCGGCCCGGCCCGGCCCCTGAGCTAGTCTCGCGCACTTTAAAAGTGCGCGAGCTCCGGCGGAGACCCAGGGCCGGCGGTTGGTCGGGCGAAGCCATCTATTATGCTACGTGGGGGGAGCTAAAAGCGTAGGCCTCCACATTTTTTCCCATTTTTAGCTTTTCAGGCCCAGGTCCTGGTCCCCTTTTAGCGTTCAAATCAGCCCCCTATACTCAGACTCCGAGAAGGGCGTTCTGACTCTCTGGGGAAAGGGTCGTTGTGTCTCTGTACGGCGGCCTCCCCCTCTAGACGGGAAACCGGTGGGAGAGGACGACGGCCGGAGGGGGGAGGAGGCGGCCCTAGCGCCATTTTGTGGGAGCGAAGTGGTCGCTGGGCTGCTCTTGGATTCCTCGCTGCTTCAGTTTCTCTGTCGGGCTTCCTAGCAGCGGCCTAGCGGGTGAGTCGCGGACGCTTCTCACTGAGGACGCCCTGTTTGCTTCGGCTCCCGCAGTGGGGCGGCCCCCGCCACGGGAAAGGAGCCGTGGGGCCGGGCCTGCCTCATTCTGCCCGAGCGGGCTCGCGTGGGAGCGACGTTAGGGCCAGGCGCGGGGTGGCAGCCGGCGCCGAAGCAGGGACGTCGGGCCCGCGGAGCCGTGCAGCCCGAGGCAGAGGTTTGGCCTGGCTTCCGGGCCCGGGCACTGTTTTGTGCCTTCGTACTTTGCGCCAGGACAGCGTTTAGGCCTGGTGCCCCAGCGGTCCCACCCCGGCCGCGCTTAAAAACTCCTCCCACGGTTGTCACGCACTGGCTTCTGGGAGGTGGCGGCCCGCGTCGCGAAGGACCTGTCGCCGCTGTCATTGCGGCTCAAGTTTGGAGAGCCCCCAGAAGTCCCCAGATTTGAAACAGGGAGGCACTTTTCCCTTGTTCTCTTCATCTCGTTCACTGCTCCTATTTAGTCCTCAAAAGACTTAGTTTCTGCATCGCTTTCTTAGGGAAATCCACTTTGACGTTCCCCTCACACACATCTCAACCAGTTTAGTTTCTTCCCAGTCCCCAAGACTACTTTCCAGTAGCATAATCACGATTGTAATAAAATAATTACTTGTTTGCTTTCTTTCTCCTGCTTATCTCCCCCTTTGCAACCAGCATGCCAGCTGGGACTGTGGTTTCACACAGTTAATAGTTGCAGCACCTGATGGATAGTAGGCACACATCAAATAATGAATGAATGAACTAGCAAGGCATTACATTTTAATAGGAATAGCTATCCTTGCTTGTACCTCCTCATTTTTCAGGGATAACCAACACCTATAAGAATTCAAACACCGAGAATTTTTCTGGAAGTCAGAACAATGACTTGGTAGTGGTATTAGTCAGCTGGGATAATTACTTTGACACAATTACTTTGACACAAGTGTTGTTCATTTGTATCTCTTTTCCATTTAAGCAAGACAAGCAAAGATGTCTGAATATATTCGGGTAACCGAAGATGAGAATGACGAGCCCATTGAAATACCATCAGAAGACGATGGGACAGTGCTGCTGTCCACAGTTACAGCCCAGTTTCCAGGGGCATGTGGGCTTCGCTACAGGAATCCAGTGTCTCAGTGTATGAGAGGTGTCCGTCTGGTAGAAGGAATTCTGCACGCCCCTGATGCTGGCTGGGGGAACCTGGTGTATGTTGTCAACTATCCCAAAGGTTTGTTGTCATTTGGTTTTGCAGTGATGCTAAAGTATAAAGTATAGGTTTGTGTCTCGTTCTGAGTCATAGGTCATGGCCCCTTCCTGGTGAACCGTCTCCTGTAGCCCAAGTATTTCTTTAAATGTTACCTTCAGACAAGTTTGAAAGACCACTAGTTTACATTAGTGAAAATTGGAAATTACAGGACATTTTTTAAAGATTGTGTGTTTAAACAATTATCTGGACTAACGTTGCTGAGCTAATGTAAAATTTAAGGAATTAAGAATGCTTTGCAATTGTATCAGTCTGTTGTAAACAGATTTTTCTGAAGTGCCTCAGTATTTTGGTTTGGTCTTTGTCCTTGCAGGCTTACATCATTCATCCAGCTAATCTTTTTTTTTCCTCCTCAAATGAACACCAGTTGCAGTAGCCCAAATCTTGAATTAGTGCAGTCGTAATTATAATTTTGGGTTCTGGTCTTATTCTCACTGCCCCTTATCAATGTTTTTAATCTAAAAGGAAGCATGAAGATGTAGAAGTGAGTGAAGGAAATGAGTATATTTAGCAGTAGGAGTGTGCTAGTTGGTAGATCTGTCTGTTACTTTTTTTTTTTTTTTTTTTTTTGGGGCACGAGCCCGTGTCCCCTGCATCAGCAGGTGGACTCTCAACCACTGCGCCACCAGGGAAGCCCGTGTCTGTTACTTCTATTGTAATGTAATATTGCAACAAAGTCATATTATTTGGTCAGTATTTAAGATGTTGCATCAAGAAGTTTGTTTATATATCAAGAAAATTCTTAATAGCATCAACTTGATTTTTGTTTTTTAGTATGTAGTTTCTTGATCCATTGGCTGTAGATTAATATTTACCCAAACTTAAAATGTCATTTATATAGTAATGTGTCGATGTAGGTTCATGGTTGTGACAAACGTACCACCCTGGTGGGGGATATTGATGCTGGGAGGGCCCTGCAGGTGTGGGGAGCTGGGGGTATATGGGAAGTTTCTACCTTCCTCAGTTTTGCTCTGAACCTGACAGTACTCCAAAAAATGATCTGTATGTCTGAATGTCATTTAGTTCCTCTTCCAAATACTGATTTTTTAAAATAACCTTAGGTTTTCTTTTTTTTTTAATTTATATTTATTTATTTTTGGCTGCATTGGGTCTTTGTTGCTGCACGCAAGCTTTCTCTAGTTATGGTGAGCGGGGGCTACTCTTTGTTGCGGTGCACGGACTTCTCATTGTGTTGGCTTCTCGTTGTGGAGCTCGGGCTCGAGGCGCATGGGCGTCAGTAGTTGTGGCTCGGAGGCTCTAGAGCACAGGCTCAGTAGTTGTGGCGCACGGGCTTAGTTGCTCTACGGCATGTGGGATCTTCCCGGACCAGGGCTTGAACCCATGTTCCCTGCATTGGCAGGCAGATTCTTAACCACTGCGCCACCAGGGAAGTCCAGGTTTCTTTTTTATTACAAAAGTAACGTGAGTTCATTGCTGGAAGTTTAGAAACGAAACAAAAAGAAAGAAAATTGAAATCATCCTTAAATCCACAGCTGGAGATAAAAGTTGCTAATTTTTTAGTAGTCTTCAAGTTATAGGCCTTAAAATAATCACGCAAATATATTTAATAGGCACAAAGATAGTATCATAGTTATTCAACCTGTTTTTTTTCCTTCCTTAATGTACTTTAAAGTGAAAGTGAAGTAACTTTTGTTTTGATACACCTTTTGAGAGGGGAGAACATACAATTGTAATCTTGAGACATTATGGAACCAGAGGTTGGAATCCCTAGATTGGCTCCAGAAAAGCACCTTAGCCACTTATTCAATTCTTACTCTGTCAGTGAGAGCTAACATCACTCTTTGGCAAAAGTTTCCAGCGTCTTAACTGTTCTGAGAATGTTTTTGCTTCTCATTTCTAGATGAAGAGGGTGTGTGTTTTACGAAGTGTTTAATGAAAGGTCTGAAAGGTTTCTGCTCATTTTGTTTAGATAACAAAAGGAAAATGGATGAAACAGATGCTTCATCAGCAGTGAAAGTGAAAAGAGCAGTCCAGAAAACATCTGATTTAATAGTGTTGGGCCTCCCATGGAAAACAACTGAACAGGATCTAAAAGAATATTTTAGTACCTTTGGAGAAGTTCTTATGGTTCAGGTAAACTTTGATTTCATTTAACAGTTTTTCAGTGAATGAGCACCCAGAATTTCTGTTGTTTTAGTGATGCTGCCTTTCATGTTCAACAGATGATATATTTTTTTATACGTTTTCTTTCTTTTTTTTCCCCAAAGAAATTTATTTATTTATTTATTTATTTATTTTTGGCTGCATTGGGCCTTCTTTGCTGCATGTGGGCTTTCTCTAGTTGCGGCGAGCGGGGGCTACTCTTCGTTTCGGGGCACAGTCTTCTCACTGCAGTAGCTTCTCTTGTTGCGGAGCATGGGCTCTGGACGCACTGGCTTCAGTAGTTGTGGCACATGGGCTCAGTAGTTGTGGCTCGCGGGCTCTAGAATGCAGGCTCAGTAGTTGTGGCACACGGGCTTAGTTGCTCTGCGGCATGTAGGATGTTCCTGGAGCAGGTCTCGAACCCATGTCCCCTGCATTGGCAGGCAGATTCTTAACCACTGCGCCACCAGGGAAGTCCTGATGATATTTTTAATATTTGTTATGTGTATACGTAAGGGGCGCTGAAAAGAAATTTGGTTTATACTATTTTACTTCACGTATATACTCTGAGTTGGTTACGTGTGTGTGTGGTTTTAGTAAATTTTAAATGATTTTTTTCCCTAGGTCAAGAAAGATATTAAAACTGGTCATTCAAAAGGGTTTGGCTTTGTTCGTTTTACGGAATATGAAACCCAGGTGAAAGTAATGTCACAGCGACATATGATAGATGGACGATGGTGTGACTGTAAACTTCCAAATTCTAAGGTACTTTGCTCTTTTTTTTTCTCTGCTTTGGCCATTTTTGCTGACAGACTTACTTAGAAGACACTGTAAAATAAAACATTACAGTTGGAAAATATAGTGGCAGAGTGTATTCTTGAAATCTTTTGCCTTGTTGAAGTCTCAGGACCTTAATGCATTGCTGAATATTTTATATGTTTGTTTGAAATATTTAGTTAATTGCTCCTCCAAACTAAAACGTTTTTCGTTTTGTTCTTCCTTTTCTCTTGTTATTTTTAGTGATTTAACAATTTCTTACATAGTTACATGTTAATACAGACAATTAGAATATGTTAATCTTTTTAAAAAGCCTAACTTATTCCAAGCAAGCAAGACTTGCTTATTTGGAACATTATCATCTTTGCCAAGACATTTCTTAATCATCAATTTTCCTTAACCCAAATATACTTTCATCAAAGTATAAGACACTGATGAAAGAAATTAAAGATGATACACACAGATGGAGAGATATACCATGTTCTTGGATTGGAACAGTCAACACTGTGAAAATGACTATACTACCCAAGGCAATCTACAGATTCAGTGCAATCCCTATCAAACTGCCAATGGTATTTTTCACAGAACTAGAACAAAAAATTTCACAATTTGAATGGAAACACAAAAGACCCCAAATAACCAAAGCAATCCTGAGAAAGAAAAACGGAGCTGGAGGAATCAGGCTCCTGGACTTCAGACTATACAACAAAGCTGCAGTAATCAAGACAGTGTGGTACTGGCACAAAAAAAGAAATATAGATCAGTGGAACAGGATAGAAGGCCCAGAGATAAACCCACGCACCTATGGTCACCTTATCTTTGACAAAGGAGGCAAGAATATACAATGGAGAAAAGACAGCCTCTTCAGTAAGTGGTGCTGGGAAAACTGGACAGCTACATGTAAAAGAATGAAATTAAAACACTCCCTAATACCATACACAAAAATAAACTCAGAATGGATTAAAGACCTAAATGTAAGGCCAGAAACTATAAAACTCTTAGAGGAAAACATAGGCAGAACACTCTATGACATAAATCACAGCAAGATCCTTTTTGACCCACCTCCTAGAGAAATGGAAATAAAAACAAAAATGAACAAATGGGACCTAATGAAACTTAAAAGCTTTTGTACAGCAAAGGAAACCATAAACAAGACAAAAAGACAACCCTCAGAATGGGAGAAAATATTTTCAAATGAAGCAACTGACAAAGGATTAATCTCCCAAACTTACAAGCAGCTCATGCAGCTCAATATCAAAAAAAACAACCCAATCCAAAAATGGGCAAAAGACCTAAATAGACACATCTCCAAAGAAGATGTACAGATTGCCAACAAACACATGAAAGGATGCTCAACATCCCTAATCATTAGAGAAATGCAAATCAAAACTACAGTGAGGTATAATCACCTCACATCAGTCAGAATGGCCATCATCAAAAAATCTACAAACAATAAATGCTGGAGAGGGTGTGGAGGAAAGGGAACCCTCTTGCACTGTTGGTGGGAATGTAAATTGATACAGCCACTGTGGAGAACAGTATGGAGGTTCCTTAAAAAACTAAAAGTAGAACTTAACATACGACCCAGCAATCCCACTACTGGGCATGTACCCTGAGAAAACCATAATTCAAAAAGAGTCATGTACCACAATGTTCATCGCATTTACAATAGACAGGACACGGAAGCAACCTAAGTGTCCATCGACAGATGAATGGATAAAGAAGATGTAGCACATATATACATTGGAATATTACTCAGCCATAAAAAGAAACGAAATTGAGTTATTTGTAGTGAGGTGGATGGACCTAGAGTCTGTCATACAGAGGGAAGTAAGTCAGAAAGAGAAAAACAACCGTATGCTAACATATATGGAATCTAAAAAAAAGGTTCTGAAGAACCCAGGGGCAGGACAAGAATAAAGACATAGACGTAGAGGATGGACTTGAGGACACGGAGAGGGGAAGGGTAGCTGGGACGAAGTGAGAGAGTGGCATGGACATATATACACTACCAAATGTAAGGTAGATAGCTAGTAGGAAGCAGCCACACAGCACAGGGAGATCAGCTCAGTGGTTTGTGACCGCCTAGAGGCGTGGGATAGGGAGGGTGGGAGGGAGATGTAAGAGGGAGGAGATATGGAGATATATGTATATGTATAGCTGATTCACTTTGTTACAGAGTAGAAACTAACACACCACTGTAAAGCAATTATAGTCCAATAAAGGTGTTAAAACATATATATATATATACTTTCATCAACTTTAAACTTTAAAACTTTATTCTTCATTGAAGTCTTACAAGAAGAATTGCTAATGCAAAAAATAAGAATGTACCTACTTTTGAATGACTCACCTAATATAAGAGGCAGATAGGTTGTATTACATCCTCTACCATAATGCTGTTTTCATTGCTCATAAAATATTTCTGATGGTTTTCTTCCTTTCAATTTGACCAGCAAAGCCCAGATGAGCCTTTGAGAAGCAGAAAGGTGTTTGTTGGGCGTTGTACGGAAGACATGACTGCTGATGAGTTGCGGCAGTTTTTTTGCCAGTATGGAGAAGTGGTAGATGTCTTCATTCCCAAACCGTTCAGGGCTTTTGCCTTTGTTACATTTGCAGATGATCAGGTATTTTCTCTTAATAATTTTGTCCCAGCTAATTAGGTAATTTCTGTGGAACTTTGCCCTTCCAGCTAATTGCCACCCTTAGCTAAGCTCTCTGACCTTGTACGCTGTGGGGTATATGGGCCTAAACATTTGTGATAAACCCCTTAGATATTTTTTTAGTACATGAGGTTTAAGTGGGGATGTTACATGTCCTCTGAAAAAGAAGTAAAAAATCCCTGCTGCCGTTACTAAAGCTAAAGGCTATTTTATGGTTTTAAATGAAATAAGTGTTCATTGCTTATTTTTTCTCCAGTTTAGATGATGGCTTGAAATCTAAGTTTTATTGCTACTTTGATGTATGAGTCAGTGGTTTAATCTCCTTTATTTGCATCCCTTATTTTTTTGTAGGTTGCCCAGTCTCTTTGTGGAGAGGACTTGATCATTAAAGGAATCAGCGTACATATATCCAATGCTGAACCTAAACACAATAGCAATAGACAGTTAGAAAGAAGTGGAAGATTTGGTGGTAATCCAGGTGGCTTTGGGAATCAGGGTGGATTTGGTAACAGTAGAGGGGGTGGAGCTGGTTTGGGAAACAATCAAGGTAGTAATATGGGTGGAGGGATGAACTTTGGTGCTTTTAGCATTAATCCAGCAATGATGGCTGCAGCCCAGGCAGCTCTGCAGAGCAGCTGGGGTATGATGGGCATGTTAGCCAGTCAGCAGAACCAGTCAGGCCCATCAGGTAATAACCAAAGCCAAGGCAACATGCAGAGGGAGCCAAATCAGGCTTTTGGTTCTGGAAATAACTCTTATAGTGGTTCTAATTCAGGTGCAGCAATTGGTTGGGGATCAGCATCAAATGCAGGGTCAGGCAGTGGTTTTAATGGAGGCTTTGGCTCAAGCATGGATTCTAAATCTTCGGGCTGGGGAATGTAGACATTGGGGTTATCGTTAGTTGGTATAAACTGGTGGGAATTCAGATTTTTCTAAACTCATGGTAAGTATATTGTAAAATACGTATGTACTAAGAATTTTCAAAATTGGTTTGTTCAGTGTGGAGTATATTCAGCAGTATTTTTGAGATTTTTCTTTAGAAAAAGAGGAAGAAGAGCTAAAGGAATTTTATAAGTTTTGTTACATAAAGGGTTGAAATATTGAGTGTTTGAAAGTGAACTGCTGTTTGCCTGATTGGTAAACCAACACACTACAATTGATATCAAAAGGTTTCTCCTGTAATATTTTATCCCTGGACTTGTCAAGTGAATTCTTTGCATGTTCAAAATGGAAACCATTGGTTAGAACTACATTCTTTTCTCCTTGTTTTAATTTGAACCCCACCATATGGATTTTTTCCTTAGGAGAATCTCCTTTTTGGAGATCATGGTGTCACAGTGTTTGGTTCTTTTGTTTTTTGTTTTTGTTTTTTAACACTTGTCTCCCTTCATATACAAAAGTACAATATGAAGCCTTCATTTAATCTCTGCAGTTCATCTCATTTCAAATGTTTATGGAAGAAGCACTTCATTGAAAGTAGTGCTGTAAATATTCTGCCATAGGAATACTTCTGTCTTCATGCTTTCTCATTCAAGAATTCGTCACGCTGCACAGGCTGTGTCTTTGACGGTGGGTGTCCCATTTTTATCCGCTACTCTTTATTTCATGGAGTCGTATCAACGCTATGAACGCAAGGCTGTGATATGGAACCAGAAGGCTGTTTGAACTTTTGAAACCTTGTGTGGGATTGATGGTGGTGCCGAGGCATGAAAGGCTAGTATGAGCGAGAAAAGGAGAGAGCGCGTGCAGAGACTTGGTGGTGCATAATGGATATTTTTTAACTTGGAGAGATGTGTCTCTCAATCCCTGTGGCTTTGGTGAGAGAGTGTGCAGAGAGCAATGATAGCAAATAACGTACGAATGTTTTTTGCATTCAAAGGACATCCACATCTGTTGGAAGACTTTAAGTGAGTTTTGTTCTTAGATAACCCACGTTAGCTGAATGTGTTAAGTGAAACGATACTTGTATTTCCCCTACCCCTTTGTCAACTGCTGTGAATGCTGTATGGTGTGTGTTCTCTTCTGTTATTGATCTGTAAGTGTGGTAATGTGAACTGAAGCTGATGGGTTGAGAACATGGACTGAGCTTGTGGTGTGCTTTGCAGGAGTACTTGGAAGCAGAGTTCACCAGTGAGCTCGGGGTGTCTCAAAATAGGGTGGAAGTTCTAATGTCTGTTAGCTACCCATAAGAATGCTGTTTGCTGCAGTTCTGTGTCCTGTGCTTGGATGCTTTTTATAAGAGTTGTCAATGTTGGAAATTCTTAAATAAAACTGATTTAAATAATATGTGTCTTTGTTTTGCAGCCCTGAATGCAAAGAATTCATAGCAGTTAATTCCCCTTTTTTGACCCTTTTGAGATGGAACTTTCATAAAGTTTCTTGGCAGTAGTTTATTTTGCTTCAAATAAACTTATTTGAAAAGTTGTCTCAAGTCAAATGGATTCATCACCTGTCATGCATTGACACCTGATACCCAGACTTAATTGCTATTTGTTCTTGCATTGTCCAAAGTGAAAAGTTTTTTTTTTTCTTTTTAAATCTAGTTTTTAATAAGTCTGGGTGACCGCACCTAAAATGGTAAGCAGTACCCTCCAGCTTTTTCTTAGTGCCTCTGTGCATTTGGGTGATGTTCTATTTACATGGCCTGTTATAAATCTCCATTGGGAAATCATGCCTTCTAAAAATATTCTTATTTGGAGTGGGCAAAACAATGTTAATTATTTTAAAATGCTTTGTAGCAAAGCCTATCAATTGAAGGGACTATCAGCACCTTTCTAGTTGGGGATTTGAAAAGTGGAATTAATTGCAATAGGGATAAAGTAGAAGAAACCACAAATTATCTTGTGCCTGAAATCCATTAAGAAGCCTGATAGCTTTAAGAACTAGCAGGGTGGGTTGTCTGTCTGTGGAAGTGTTAAGTGAAATGGGCTTTGTCTTCCAAAGGTGGGGAAATAGAGTAATGTTGAATAAAATCGCTTATAAAACTCAGATTAGACTCTCACGATGCATTGTTAAGTATGTAAAAGCAATAATAGATTCTCTGTTGTACTTAAAATGTAACTAACTTCTATGAGAGTTGAGCTTTTCTAATGGAAGAACGTAAGTTTTTGTGCTGATAATTTACTTGATGCCCTTATCTAATTAGATTATGATAAATAGGTTTGTCATTTTGCAAGTTACATGTTTTAAACTTAAAAATGAAGTCGTCCTTTAGACTTATGGTCGCCACATTGTTTTATTCAGTTTCATCTGTAAAAGGATCTTGCGTTGTTTTAATTTTTTTTTTTTCTGCATCTAAATTGCATGATTTCCAAATCCTGTACCATCTGAATTTTGCATTTTAGCACTTGCACTGTTACTCAGCAGCAGTAACATGGTAACACTTAAAATGGTATTCGGGGACCTCCAAAGACTAAACTGACAAGCCTTCAAGGAGCCCAGGGGTAAGTTATCTTTGTCAATGGCATGGTTTTCATCCCTTATTTACACTTGTGTAAATCTAGTTACCAGTCTTAGAAGGCTTTCAATGTTGACTAGCCTTCTGTTAACATGTTTATGATACTACATAGCTATGGGTATTTAATTCTACCCTAAAGAAAAAAAAAATGAAGTTTAGAAGTAAACTATTTGGCAGAGATTTGTTTTTAAAGTCTATTTGATCATCTAAATGCATTCATTCTAAAAAATTTTTTGAACCAGTTGAATAAAAATTTTTGTTGCCACCACAGTTTAGTGTCTGGAGTCTTACTGGAAAAACACAGTTTTTTTTTTTTTAATGTGACAGAGATGCTGGAAAGTTACCTTTAAAAAGTGAGTCTCAAGAAGTTGCACTTCATATGCACAAGAGAAGTTAGTCCAGCCTCACAATGCGTTTCTACATACAGTGGTAACTGTTTGGCTAGAATGAAAAAGTTTGTTAAATGTTAAGTATTAAAGCTTTTTAGGGAGGAATGGCCAACTAAATGAAATGAGATTTTTAAGGTTAAGTCAGAGCTTAAATGCTGTCCTTAGGAAAAAGATGTTGAGTACTTAGTAATTCAGAAGATGTATGTGATAATTAGAATAATTTTTGGTTGTTGAATACTAGGAGAGTAACTCTTAACTGTGTATTTAAGTTCTGTACTTAGCTGTTGTACAATCTGTAATCTATTTTTAAATGTGCCCAAGTATTCCACGTTCGTGGTAAGAAGGAAGAAAACACTACAGATTGATTTATCAATAATACCGCCACTTATTTTTAATGTTGTATTTCATCTTATGGAAATGCCACATTTGATTCAACTGTCTTCTGAATTTGAAAATAAAATATTTAGGTTATTTCCAAGTGCTAGGAACATCCTCACAGCTAAATTAAAATCTTAGCATTGGAATGACCAGGTCAGAGACTATGCATGCTTTTAAGACTTGTGAAATAGATTTGCCAAATTGTCCTTCAGAAAATTCGTCGCCTTCGACAGTGTGAACTGGTGCTGTTCCATGCTCTTCTTGTCTGCCAGTTTGAGAAGTGAAAAATTACAGCATCGCTTTTAACATGGAAATCAGTCTATACCTAGGCCAAAGTATTGATATTTCCAATTTATCTACCCAAGAAAAACATGATTCAAAGTAATTCCTGAACCAGTACTGCTATGATATGTAACGCTCTCAGAGAACAGTAAGGACAAGTACAAAAAACTGGAGAAAAACAGTTAAAGAACATGAACAGGCAATTTCCAGAAATGCAAATGGCCAGTACAAAAAGACGCTGGACTTTTGTAAGTAAATCCAAATTTAACCAGTGGGTTTCTGTTGGATTGGCAACGGTGAATGAATATCACTACAATGTGGTTTATGTCCCCTTCAATCAGAGAGTACGTGGTGGAAAAGTGGCAAGTGGAGAAGTGCCTGAAAGGCACTTCTCACCTGTAGTTTGGTTTGGTTTTGAGGTGGAACGGCAACTGTCGTGTTAATGTTTCTCAGGTCAGTTTGCCCCTGAGGTCTTCTACAGGTATTTTTTAGAACAAAGAATCATGTACTCACTGGAGACACACAAGTTAAAAACTATTAATTATGTTCTTGATCCAGGGAATATAGTTAATGACTTTTGTGTAGACCCCATACTGATCTGCTTCCCCACAATTAATGGAACCCCAGGACACTATTCCTCCCACAAACCATTTCTGTGTCTCATTATGTAGAAACACTAATGCCCCCCCACTGTCGCCTTTACAGCTGTCCTTGCCCCCACTTTCTAAACCAGCACAAAGCATGTTGTCAGTTACCCTTCCCCCCGGATAGGACTTCTTTGCATATGCCGCAGTACAGTTTTGATGGTCAACAACTGGTATGTCAACAAACATTAGATTTCTGGCAAGAAAACCCCTTTGGGTTAATCCCCATCCAGATGCAGTTCCAATATCATTGGTTCTCATGAAGCATTCAGCTTCTTTTCTTGGCAAACAAATAGGCAAGATGTCGCTATTTAATACAACTTTGTTCTTCAGTTTAATCAATGCTATGTCATTATCGTAACCAGCATTATGAGTGTAACGTTCATGTATAAAAATGGCCTCGGCCCAGGCTTGTGTATAACGAGGTGACAGTCTCTTCAGGGCACCCATTCTAATGTCTAGGGAGGAGGCGTCTTCTCTTTGCTCATATACAGCATGAGCAGCTGTTAGGATCCAGTTGTCATATAGAAGTGCACCTGCTGCTATAGTTTTACCTAATAACAGTGCTTGCCAAGGAAAATCGCCAAGCTTTGCATTTTGTCCTCCATATATACGACCTTCTGTGGTACGGGTGGATATTCCACAGACTGGGGGAAAAAAGATATATAGAGCCTTTATAGAAACCCGATGGTGTTTTTTCTCCAATTATTACCACTTTGGAGTTGTGTATATGTAATGTCAACCAGAAATTGCATCACATAATTTGGTGGGTGTCCACCTATACAGGCAAGTGAGACTGCTTAAAACACTGTTGAAAGACCTGATAAAACCATTTGGTGTTTTTTAGCTCCGCAGAAAATGAGGTGAGTGAAAATTAACTTTTAGAAACTGATTTGTTTTGGTAAAATAATTTGGTCTCGCAATTGGGAAAATATTTAATAGGGCAGACAGGAATTGTCTGAGCTGATGTGCATAGGAAGTGAAAAATAACCTTTTCATTGCTTCTGTTTTCCTACTTGTAAAATGGGGTATTTACCATGTAGTTCTGGGAAAGCAGAAACTAAGGTCACTATCATAGGATTTGCAGAATTACTTTCACCTTTGTACATTAAAATGTTTTTAAAAATTAGAATGTTGCAGTTGTAGCCAGGAACCTTCAGGTTCAGAAATTATTTTGGGTCTAGTTGTTTCTTCCAAACACTAAACTTTATTATGTATTGCTAACTAAATATGCTCATTAATGTAGCAAATATGTCTCCTGCTGTGGCAGAATACTCTTATTAAAGCTTACAAACATTGTTGTCAGCTAAGATGCAGGTTTTTTAAAAAGACTGATTTAAGCCAAATAACACAGGGGTTATGAATATATTATTACCTTTCTGATCTTTCTTTTTTAAGCACTCAACTATATCTTCAGAGCAGATTCTGGTAAAACTTTTTTTTAAGTACTGTTAAAAGGCAAATTGCATTAATGTTTAAAAACTAGATGTCATTGAAAACAGTTGCTTAGGGAAATAATGAGGTTATTAGCTTTGGGTTTTAATAGCATTTTTAAAGAGAAGAAATCATGTTTATAAATGTATAAATGGTTCAAGATAATTTAAAAAATCATTTAATTTTTTATGCTTGCCTAGTTGTAAGGTCAAAAATGATCAAATGATTGATACAGTCAGCACCAACAACCTCTCCACATGGAAGGGGTAATGAGAACATACTATTTGGGAATAATAAGTTGGTCTAAAAGCCAAGTGCTGAAGTTACATTTCTGCCTACACAGCTGAAGCACTACTTACTGTCTGCTACCCAGTTCTACTTTCCATCAGTTATGAATCTCGTGTATAAATGTATCCATTACCAGGCTCACAGACGGGGGGTGATTTTTCTCCTTTGGAGCTCGTCCAGAATCCATCAGCCTCACACACATAGTTACCTGCAAATCATTGAAAGAGCAAAAATGTTTAACTGCATGTGAAAAGGTGGTTGTCATTTGCTTGAATACCCCCCTTGAAAAATGTAGATTCTGGAGCATCAGTGGGAAATAGAAAGGAGCTCGTCCAGAATCCATCAGCCTCACACACATATTTACCTGCAAATCATTGAAAGAGCAAAAATGTTTAACTGCATGTGAAAAGGTGGTTGTCATTTGCTTGAATACCCCCCTTGAAAAATGTAGATTCTGGAGCATCAGTGGGAAATAGAGGTGTCTGAATAACCATTTTACATGATTTCATAAATAGGAGGTCTCTGCATTACCATGTATGCTTGCAAAGTGGAAACCTTTTAGATGTGTAACTTGAATATGTATCAAGATCTTAAGTGCTTAATGATAAGGTTTTGACTTGTTAAATTAAACCATTTGGAATATATTGTGTGTTTGTAGTAGTCATTTACTGGATAAGGTCTGTTTTCAGATTCTTGCAAATTGACATTAAAGTCACTTCAGCTGTAATATTTCACTTAGCAGGTGGAAGAAGTGCCTTTTAATCTTTTGTCGCCTTAGCCAAAAATGTTGGATAAGTTTTTTTCAGATCATGAGGGCTTAGGTTCCAAATATCACCCACCCCCAGCTTTGAACAATTTGCTTACCATCATCTGTTCTCATTGTGTAGAACTCATTACAGCGATATTTAACCACAGCTTTGTATATGGTCACCTCGGCACCCGTTATATAGTCCACTTGGCCACTGGGTAGGTCATCAGGAGGGCCACAGTCAACAACTAACAAACAAGGGAGAGGGAAGTCAGTTTGTACTTTGAATCCTAACATTAAAACGATGTGGAGACTGATAGGTGGTTGTGCTGTGTGTTGTTATAACTTGAAGTTATATTCAAGATGGACATCGTTTCATCTCTGAAAATGGAGAGAATCACCTTAGTGTGATTTTAAAGCATCGCTCTCATCTCTGTTCCTAACTAAATGGCTAGGTTGAAGTGAAGGCCCTGGGCAAGGAGTTGTATGATGCCTTCCCTAAAGGAAGGGAATTTGAAACTACTTGGACTTCCTTAGCACTCACAAAAGAAAGAAAACAGCACGGCCTGCATATGCCTGTACAGTCTGGTTTGATGTTAAATGGTACAGTTTGGTAGCCTTAAAAATAGAACAATACAGAGAAGACCGAAGAACTTGTTCTTAGGATCCTCTACCTAAGTTGACCTTTTTAGAAGACCTGGAAGTCATAATACCTTGAGTTTGGGTTAGAATTCACAACTGTTAGGACATTACTAATGTGACATAACCAATCTGTGAGACAAAGTGATACCAGTCTAAAAGTCATAGTTTTGTACACAGACATCTAAAAATTGTTGATGTATTTCTGTGGATTTTAAAAGATAAATCGTTTTTAGCAACTTAATAGCAGTGTGTCTGGCTTTGTGTCAAGTGCGTTGTCTACGTTGCCTTAATTCTCCACGGATGAGATGCCCGTAACCAGTGAAAAGTGGCAGAATCAGGGCTCTAACCCATACCTTAGTCCTACAGTCCTTCGGTGCCAGCTCCTTACTGGTTTTTAAACTAAAAGAATTGGTAGTCTCACGGGAATATAAATTTCGAAATAAAAATATTCCCCTAGGAATTTTGTAGAAACCCTTGCAAAAAAATATGTGAAAGTAGGGACTTCCCTGCTGGCGCAGTGGTTAGGAGTCCACCTGGCAATGCAGGGGATGCGGGTTCGAGCCCTGGCCCGGGAGGATCCCACATGCCACGGGGCAAGTAGGCCCGTGTGCCACAACTACTGGGCCTGCGCTCTGGAGAACGCGAGCCACAACTACTGAGCCCACGTGCCACAATACTGAGGCCTGCATGCCTGGAGCCTGTGCTTTGCAACGGGAGAGGCCACTGCAGTGAGGGGACAGCGTGCCGCGGCGGAGGGTAGCCCCCGCTCAGTGCAACTAGAGGAAGCCTGCGCACAACAATGAAGACCCAATGCAGCCAAAAACTAACTAACTAAATGTATTTTTTAAAAATACGTGAAAGTATACGTACAGAGGTGTTAACTATGGCAGTGTATGTAATAGTAAAAAACTGGAAACAATAGAAATCACATGAAATAAAAAGCATAGGTCCTCTGATGGAATACTGTGCAGTCATTAAAAAGAAGGAGCAGCTCTCTGAGTGCTTGGATTGTTGTGGAAAGATAACCCAACAATGTTGCGGGGAAGAGTACATTGCAGTCAGAGTTAGTTCAAAAGTAAGTAAGAGTGAGAGATGTTAGTATAAATAGTATAGGAAATAGAGTATGAAGGAATGGACCCCAGTGTCTTACAGGTAGTTTGAGGATTTGGGCAAGAGAGGCTTTCACTGTATATTTTTGTGACTTTATATGGTTTTTCCATTTAACACGTATCATAATTTTAAAAATATTAAAAATAAAGTACGTGATTCTTAGTTCACAAAATGGTAGTGAACACCGTTATCCCAGTTTGATGTGTAGATGCCCCTACAAACAGTAGCCTATACATGTTTACACGTGTGATATATGTAATTGGAGGGCTATGCACCAAAATAACGAGAGTGATTAAACTCTGATACGGCGGGATTATGAGTATTATAATGTTTGTAATTTTCTCTATTTCCCATCTTTTATGAGTATTTTATACTTAGAAAAATATTTTTAAATACCATACTTTTCTGAAGCAAATACTTTTCCTAGTAGCTTGGTCCTGTTTTAACCTCTTAAAAGTGCTCTGAGAGACTGAGGATGAGAAGCAAATTTGGAATTCAAGCCCTGATAAATCATTTTTTAAAAAAGACCAGAAGCAGCAGTAGTAGCAGAAGCAGCTGCAGGCATCGTGGTCACACATACGTACCGCTGCACTCCGGCATCGGTTGGTCCCAAGATCCATCTGTCTGACAGACTGCAACAAATGATTTCAGGGGCCAATAACCCTAAAGAGGAATTGAGAAAATATTAATTTCCTTGTTTATATCATGAAACCACTCCCCAAAGCTCTGCTCCCACGACAGTTCTTTGAGTGTTTCAAGAGTTGCTCCCAAGGGGGTGATGCACCCACGTGATTGGACACGCAGCCCAACTGCCTTGATACATGTGTGTACTTGTTGGTGATGTCACCTATGTGTGTATCTCAGTTTTAAAGATGTTGACCTCTGCAGCAGTTTATATTTTCTGCTTTCCACTTAATCCAAGAATACGTCAGATTTCTCACAAGTTCCTGCTGGTGTTCCACCATTTCTTTATGTAAAGTGCCAAAGGGTGACAGTCAAAAGTTTGGGGAAGATCAGCCTGATCAGACATGGAGTGAATGTGTCTGGATTTTTCTAGCCTGCGGCTATTAACTGGAGGAAAGCTATTTAAAATATCAATATTTCCAGAAGCTTCACATGTGTGTTCTCAATCACTTCCCGTTGCTAATATTTAGCGGGACATTTTTGACTTATTTAAATATTTTTCTAAAATCAGACTTTAAAATGAAAGAAGGTGGGTGGCTTTGACTGAAGCTTTATGCTTCGAAGGAGAGCAGGATGACTTCTTTTTTCCTCAGAAACTGAACAGGCTTGGGTCCAAGTTGCTGTGGAAAGAGCCCGCCGAGAAGTTTACAAGTTGAGCAAAGTGTCTCACTTTTTGGGGGGTCGGGGGCGGTTGTCCCTCCACAGGACTGGTTGCATGACCAGCTATCTTTTCAGTGTTATTGCTTTTTACCACTGGGATTCAGTGACATTTTGAAGAACATAAAGAGGACATGTGAATCTCTAACCTGTGCCCCTAAAGCAACACACTAAGCATTTTTTGAAATTATCCTCCTTCTCCCTTAACAGTGGTCACTGTTTATAACTTTGCAGAATATACTGTTTCCAAGGGCCATTTAATTTTTTTGTGGGCCCAGGAGTTGTTTCATGTAAAGGTCATTTGACCAGGAGGAGCTTGATTTAATGCAAGGTGATAATACAGAGCACACGACAAACATTTCAGCTGCTTTACCAAGAGCTGCTGTAATGTGTGTGAACAGAGAAAAGGTGTTCATTTTAATCGCCAGCTTTCCAAAAAAAAAAAAAGAAAGAAAAGAAAAAGCTGTTTTAAAAAGCAGAGTTCTGGGTTTCCCTGGTGGCACAGTGGTTGAGAGTCCACCTGCCAGTGCAGGGACACGGGTTCGAGCCCTGGTCCGGGAAGATCCCACGTGCCGCGGAGCAACTGGGCCCGTGGGCCACAGCTACTGAGCCTGTGCTCTAGAGCCCACGAGCTGTAACTACTGAGCCTGCATGCCACAACTACTGGATCCCGCGCACCTGGTGCCTGTGCTCTACAACAAGGGAAGCCACCAAAACAACAAAGAGTAGCGCCCCCCTCGCCGCAACTAGAGACAGCCCATGCACAGCAACAAAGTCCCAACGCAGCCAAAAATAATAAATGAATTAAAAAAAAATTTTTTAAAGCGGAGTTCCTAAGAATAGAAAATTCTCTGTAGCCGTTTCTCTTAGCAAATGTATCATTTCTTTGAATTTTATTGTTTAATCATAGGCAAAGTAAACCACCATGCTGACAACAGCTGTTTCCCCATTTTCCTTTCACATATTTGCTGATATAAATATGTATTCATTCAAAAACCGTCATGATTGTGGTGCACTTAAACAGCTTTGTATTAACTTACTTGCAGAAGTTCGTAGCCCGACTCGCAGAAGACAAAGAAGCGGTCTTTCATGATGTATTTGGCCTGCACAGGGGAGATGCGGCCGTTAGGTGGTGCCGTCGGGTCAGGGCAGGGCTGAGCTGCGCAAGGAAACCAGATGTCGGGGGTTTAGCTGGCTCTATAGCAGCAAGTCTGAATTTAGCAATTAGAAGTTCTTGGTTTATAAATGAAACAACGTGTAAAGAGAGCTTGCCACAGTGGGGTAGAGTTCTTAAGATTTAAAACCAAAGGCAAGATTAAACTCTCGGCTGCTTATCGCACAAATTAGGATTTGTCTCCTGGCCTGGGCTTCAGTCAAAGTGATGAAAAGAAAGCTAGGCACGTGGTAAGGGAGCAAGGTCACGGCAAAGGGAGCACCTGCTCCACGCCAGGGGCCTCACACACACTGCTGAAAACCGGGCAAGTGTAACATGGCAGGGAAAGAGCTGGACAGCATGGGTTAAAATCACAGGAAAGCCTCAGTTTCCTCATCTGTAAGCTGAGAGAGGTAAGAACGTTTGCTCAGCTTCTAGGGCTGTTGCGAGGACCAAATGTGAACCACAAAGGACATCGCTTTGCTAATAAGTGCTGGGCAGCAGGGGGTTGCAGCCAGCGAACCCTCACAGCAGCCCTTGTGGCTCAGAGAGGCACCGGGGCTCAGGGCCAGACTGGCACTCAGGAAGCCTCATACGTCCCTCGTGAGCACGTGCCCGCAGGGCTCACGGCTGGCTTCCGCTTTGGCCCCCAAACCCTGGCCTGTTGTCACCCCAAGGCTTCAGCCAGTCCTCCATGGCTGCCTATCCCCCAAGGCCACCCCTCAGCCCATGCAGGTCATTTGCCCAGTCCCCTGCTTCCTCCAGCAGCTGCCCCTGTGTCCTGCAGTGACTCTCAGTCCCAGGCAGGCCCCAGAGTCTCCCCTCTTGGAACCAGTCTCCAGGGATGTTCCAGGTGGCCCTGTCGGGGCCCAGGGCTTCCCGAGGCCACCTCATACCCGGGCCAGGGCCCTGCTGGCATTTCCCTTCACACACACGTCCAGGCTCTGTCCTGGCCCCTTCTCACCCGCCAGCCCGGCAAACCTGACTCTTCCCTCTGACTCACTCTGAAAGCAGGTGCTTCGGCTTCAGAAGTTTTACTACTTCCACCCACAGGAAAACAAAAGGCTTTTTAAAAATGAACAAGAGGCAAATGAAATGTTCCCAAAGTGCTGGTCTCTCCCCTACTGACCCATCTCTCACCCTTTCCCACAGAGCTGGCCCAAAGGTTAATATCTTTCCTAATTCAATCTCATTTTTAAAATTACTCAACACCTCCTCCATGCTCACTCGGTGTCTTCTGCGTTAGCCCACTAATCCCCACCTTTCCAAGGAGCTATTGTCCTTCATTGGATAATTGGGACATTAAGTCTCAGAAAAGTTACGCTAAGAGGTTCAATGTCACATGGCCAGGAAGCAGGATGCGTTACAGCCGAGACGCCAACCCGGGCAGTCTGACACCCAGCCTGCACTCTGAGCACGGCTTGGGGCCTTGGGTGTTTTGCTTTGGAGCTTCTCCAGCTCAGTTACTCTGTCCTTCCAAAAACATCCTGAAAGACCTGTTGGCTGAGAGTGGAGAGAGGGACAGACACGTCCAGAGGTCAGTGCCCAGAAGGTGGGGGACTTGGACTCGTGTCTCAGGAGGTGGCACCAAGAACTACCGTCTACGTTTGAGGGTCTGTCACGAGGAAGAGGTGGTGGAGGAGGGTCCAAGAGGCAGAGTGCAGACTCCCTGTCCAAACCCTCCGTGTCAGGCGGGAGCCCCTATCTCTGCCTACCCCATCACACCCTCTTACAGCTCACACCAAGAAAGCTGGAGCCTCTGGGCTTTTGCACATACACCTCCCTTGCACTTGGAACACTCTTCCGCCTTCCTCCAATACCTACTTGTCCTTTCAATTCAATCTTGTATGTTTCCTGTCCGGGGCCCCTTTTGTTAGCACCCAGCCCCTGCCTGGGCCAGGTCTCTCCTCTGGACTCTCACTGTGCCTGGTGCTCGGCTGTGCTTGTCACAGGGTTGTGGTCATGTTGCTGTGACTAGACTGGACTGACAGCAGAGGTATTATGTATTCCCCACACAGGGCCCGGTGCACATCCATAAGATGGATGGATGGATGGAAGGAGGGAAGGATGGACAGATGGATGTGTGTGAGGGGTGGCATGAACATGACTTGGCATGAGGATTATAGCTGTCCCGCGATGTCTGCGGGGCATTGGTTCCAGGAGCCCCGTGAATACCAAAATCTGCGGCTGCTCAAGTCCCTTATACAAAACGGCAGAGGGAATGCCCTGGCGGTCCAGTGGTTAGGACTCAGCGCTTTCACTGCCGAGGGCATGGGTTCAATCCCTGGTGGGAAAACTAACATCATCCCACAAGCTTCTTGGCCAAAAGAAAAAAAAAGGCAGAGTGTCAGCCATCTGTATCTACATCCACGGATGTGGGAAGCCAACTGTATTTTGAGCTGATTATTTTATGAAACAGCAGACACAGGAGAGACTCTGAAAACAGAGTAGAAATTACCCTTTTCTAAGGGAAATTTACGTTTACAGAGGAAATCTCCATTCGCAAGAGTGTCTCCCGCTCTGTGCCAGGAGTAGGATGGCTAAATCATTAGAAACTCTTAACAAAGGAAAAGACAGAAAAATTTTTTACTAAAATTAAATTTCAAAAGCAGTAAAGAGAGTCTTTAACCTGCGTAACGAATCTTACTCTTGGTGACCATGCTTTTCCTGGTCACCTCCTCATAACTGGACTCCCCTGTACCCTTCCTCTCTTTTGTCTTTAGCTGAAGATGTTTAAGCCTGAATTCTAAGCCACCTCTGAGGCTCATTTTCCCCTGGGTTATCTCCCACGTACGCACGAGATATCCATGTTCATAAACTTGTTTCTTTTTCTCTCGTTAATGTCTCTTGTTCCCAGCCAAGAATTTGGAAGGGCAGAGGGAAAATTATTATTTCCTCCCCTACAGATGGAAGGAGGGATGGTTGGATGGCTGGGTGAATGGGAGAGGGGAGGGTGAGAGGTAGGGACGGAGAGAACGGCTGTGTGGATGGGTAAATGGGTAGAAGGAGGGATGGTTGGATGGAGGGGTGAGTGAGTGGGTGGATGAATGGGGGGGTGGCACTTCCCATAGGGGACCCCTGCCTCACAGACGACCCCACTCAAACCTGGCGAGTTCTGGTGGAGTTCAGGACACAATACCTCAAAATACGGCACCTTGGCACGTTGATGATTTTAAGCTGGGAGTTTGAGAAAATAGCAGAAGCAGGAAGGTCACTTTGATTCCCCGCCCCTCGCCCTTCCTCCCTTAAGCAGCTCATAAGACCCTCACGTGACAGGTGTCTGCCCTACACCCAGAGGGAAGCCTTGTCACCAAAGGCAAAAGGATGCCAAGAAGAAGCCTAACAAACAGGCCTGGCTAAGTTCCCCCACCCCGTTTACCACCCTTACTTCATATCCCTCAGCCTATCACACTCCTCAGCAAACCTAGTACAAAAGTACACAGGTCCAGCTGTCTCTCTGAGTCTTTATTTCCTTACAAGGGCTCCCGTGCCACAAAAAATTTATATGAAATCAACATGTATGCTTTTTTTTCCTGTTAACCTGTCAGGTTGCTTTTCAGACCCAGCCAGGGACACTAAAGAGGGTTAAGGAAAACTTTTCCCTCCCCTAACTTCCCAGGCCCGGCCAGGAAGAGTTCCATCCCATGTGGCTCCTTGATGTTTCTGGAAGAGCCCCCTGCTGAATCAGAGCCCCACCTGCCCTCACCTGTGCTGTTGTAATGGATCTTCCAGCCCGTGTGGTCCCCCGACTGATCGGTGGCAAAGGTGATGGTCACAGTGTTGCTCTTGGTTTCAATCCTGCGGGGCAACGTCTTCCCACAAAATGGGCCATATTCCTCCTTGTCTGTTTGAATCTGAAAGTGGAGAGGCCCCTGTCACCTCAGGACCTGGCCGGGCCAGGGGGAGGCAGCGGCCAGGGGAACCAGACCTTCAGGGAGTCATAGGGGCACTGGGTCTCAGGGTGCGTCTCCACGTCAAAGGACTCCACGAAGTCCAGGGTGACACGGAACCCCTCCTCCAGGCGGATGCTGTAGGTGCAGCTGGAGAGTTTGGGGTACGGCTGAGGGTATCCAGGGCTGCTGAGCACCCCAGACCGGGCGGTGAAGACCTGGCCTGAGCACAGGGCTGGGGAGAGGGGAGAGGACAGGCGGGGTGAGCCAGGTGCAAGCGGCATGGCTCAGGCCACCTGCCCACTGTCACACACCAGCCCCAGAGGCATCTCCCGAGACTGAACGCCCCACCCAGTGGCTGAAGGGACAATTTAGGGAGGGGTCTCTCTGGCTTCCAGGATTTAGCTGAAACAAGTGACACTTGGAGGTACATTCTCCAGGGGTCCCACTCACACCCCCAGGGAGGATGGAGGCCCTAAGCTGAGGCTCCTGGTGTGGGGAACCCTGGGCCAGAGTCACAGTTCCAGGGGTGCGGGGAGTGAGCCATGTCAGGGTCTGCCTGGGGGAAAGGGGCACCAGGAGAAGTGAAGGGGACTTTCCCGTCCCCAGGAATTTGGTGTGGGGAGGTGGCAGGAGAGGAGTCTCCCCTGGGCCCCCTCCAGGAACACTCAGGGAGGAAGGCCTCCCCTTGCCCACCTTCCCTGGGTCTAGGCTCTGCCCTGGGGGGCAATTGAGGGCCGTTCAAGTCCACACTGATCATAGTCTGGTACCCACTTTCCCCATTGAAACAGCTGATTCTGCCTTTGCAGAGGGAATGTCTGTTGGCATCACTCGTAGGAGGGTTCTACCCCCCCATCCCCCAGGTGGCAGAAGTGGGGACACAGGCATTCCAGGAAGTGAGGAGTCCCAGCACTGCCTTTCTTCTTCCACGTGGCTGCTCCCCATGGGACAGAGGGAGTCACCCCCGGATGTGGGGTACCAACCAGACTGCCCATCAGTGAATCGATACCTCCTTGGGCCTCTCTGCTCGGGTTCAGACTCCCCCAGCCCAGCACACCCAGGACCTGAGGTACCCTCTGAACAGGAGGTGGACCCCAGGATGCTCTGAGCTCAGTCCTTGGATTCCTGGTGGGGGAGTAGCAACAGCTCGGTTCCCCTGTGTGAGCCCCCTGCCCCTCTCTGGGCCTCGGTGCCCCATCATCAAAATGAGGGTGAGGACAGAGCAAGCCCCTCTGGCAAAGGAGCCTGTGGCCCCAGAGAGGCGGCGCCCACCAACTAGGGCCCATCGGGCTGAGGTGAGGGTGGGAAGGAAGGGGGGCCAGAGTGCACACTGCTGCCCTCCCCTCACCCTTCCCCCCCCCAGAGACACGCAGCAGGTGGAGGTGGAGCCGAGTTTATTGTTAGGTCCGTGGGCGGGGTCAATGGGGGCTGCAGGCTGCAGCGGTCTTGCCCGAGCCAGACCGGAGCTGGAGGGCAGGCTAGAGGCTCTGCTCTGGAAGAGAGAACAGAGACGGGGAGAGACACGGGGGAGGGCACTGAGCAGGGGAGCGGGCTCAGCACCGAGGGTGGGGGCTGCTCGCTCCCAGAGCGCCAGCTGGTTTTCCGTCCAGGTCCCTGGCAGGGGCGCAGAGGGGAGTCCGGGCTGTGGAGGCCAAAGGGGTTGGCCTGCTGGGGGCTGAACCGGCAGCTCTGAGCTGAAGTTTCATGGAGGGAAGCTTGTGTGAGGCAGGCCTAGGGCCCCCACTCCTTCATCCTGAGGCCCCCCAAGGAGGATGAGTCCTGATTGGCCAGGTACACAGTGAGGGCCGACCACATGCTCACCAAGTGAATGACCTGAGGAGGAGTGAGAGTGAGCCAAGGACAGGGTGGAGGCATGTGAGGAGCTGGAGAACGTGGATGGATGAGTGCTTAGGTGGGTGGATGGGTGGATGGATGGGTGGGGGGACGGGTGGATAGGTGGATGGGTGGGTGGATGGATGGGGATGGGTGGTGGATGGGTGGATGGATGGGTGGGTAGTGGGTGGGTGGATGGGTGGGTG